TCTCACTCGTTTCCCTGAACAGCAGGTTATAGTTTCGACATGTTTTCATTATCTTTGACTTATAAGGAAGATGATGGTATGCACGAAAATTTCCAAAATTCATCCAAATGTATAATTTTTGACCGAAATGCTAAAAATGTTAAAATGCTTCTTGATTCAGAGAGTTGACAAGCAAACTATTGCCTTACAAAGTTTGATACGCGGTGTTACGCGTGGAAATGTATATCAAAATGTTCTCCAATAATTTCTGCATCGGGGGCAGCTCTCATTTTTTGCCGAAATTTGCCTAAACCAGTCACTATGAGACGTCAAAGCAGACGGTGCCGCGTGGTTTCTTACGCCCCGCCGGGCCGCGCCGCGGCGGGTTACCCGACCGCAGCACACCGCCTGGGGGTTTCCGGTCAGTATAGGAGTTGGGAGGAGGGAGGAAGGGGCTGATACCATGTTGACATTATTTTTCTATCGCCAAATGTTCTTTTGGAACAAAACAACAACATCCTTGCAACGCTGCATCCATTTTATTGGCTATCGCCGCCAATGTTCACCTTATTGAACTTTAGTACAGAGCTTTGATATAGGTAAATCGAAAAATGTTGTAACTTTGTAAAGTGAGGTTGGAGGTTTTTGCGGTGCTAATCACGAATTTCAAGCTAGTTTTGATCAAGGATGATGTTTTCATGCTAGGCCAGGTCAGGTCAGGCCCGACCAGTAGGTGTCTTGCCGGCTATCCATAGAAGGTAGGCGTCGATTACCTTTGACGGCTTCGTAGCATGTTCCGTTAGGCACCAAAACTACTTAAATCTTCAAATGGGTGTTAAGTTCAAAATAAGCTCCAAGCACTTATCTAGAAAAATCGTATAACTTGAAAAAGTCAACTAAGGTCATCTAAGGTAAATGACCTTGATTTGACCTTAACGTGACCTTAAAATGCAAAGAACAAACAGCATTTCATACCTTGGAGAGTTAACAACCACAACAAGACTGAAAACGCGCCGATAATGTACGCTGATAAGCGCCAAATCGATACCAGCCTGACATGGACTGGTGAAACAGGTCACAGGTCAAATTTTTATTAAGGTCAAGGTCATGAAATTTTAAGTGTGTGAGTAACATTGATCGAATCGAAGGTATAGAAGTTTCGTCGTGATCCGCCACGTTTTGCTTGAGTTAGTTGCGAAAAGTCGAGGACAGAAGTCTGTGCGACCCCCTCCCCCTTTAAGTGCAAGGACTAACAAAGTGCAAAGGTTAAGCCCGAAATGCCTTTTGGTGATTGGGCTAGACATGAACAAATATCTACTTCTAAAACGATTGTAGTTTCGTTCTACTTTTTAACGCTTCCATGCCCACGATGCATTGCTAGCCGAAAACGCTTCAGTGCTAAGTCCGTGGGGAGGGGGCGGGGGAGGGATGGGGTCAAGCAGGAGAGCCAACCATGTTGCCAGGGATCATACACCCTAAGCCTAACCATTTGAAGGTGAAATAAAATTATTTAAGGTAGCGGAGGATGCAATATAAATAAATTCGTGCTAGGATCGATAAAAACCCCACAGTGGACCGGTGTCAATAAGGGCGAGAGTTCGACGCCGCACGGCGGCGGCAGCGCCTTATCGGCACCGCGCGCCACGACATCTGCCGGGCGGCCGGCTGGGCGGTGGGAAGTTATAAGTGCGTGGTCTTATTGCAAACGATCGGGGTGAGCTATCCCATGTTTTCGGGGCGGAAAGTTTCAGTGCAGCATCGGTGCGTCTGCCACGGTGGTCTGTGTCGATGGTATAGAAAATAACTCAAGCAGAGCTCAGAAAAGAATGAATGATTCCGGGTAGTTGCCTCGAAACAATCCGTTTCAAGAATACAGCTGCCTTCTTTACGTACCGTATCACTTGTTAATTCTTCAAAAAGCAAACTCTGAGCAATAACACACCTCTTTGCGTTGCTGTTGACAATTTACGTTAGTTTTTGACGGTGGCTCGCACCCCCAATATGCTGCCGCGCAACTTTATTCCAACGGCGAAACGGCAACTTCGCGAGAATCGAAAATTCACGATATACGTACAGCAGGGGCTGGCAATGCAGTATGCACAAGGACAGAATATGGAGGAGACCCGACAGTCATCGGCCCAAGTTTGGGGGTGGCTTTGACGAGCATATGCGTCACCAATGTCATTATTCAGATACGTTAATGTCAGATGCTGGGGCAACAGAATCGACGCCAGGTGTAACTTAGATTAGCGGGTCGAAAGAAAACATAACATGTCTGGGAATGACAGAGTGGCCACCCTGACAGTGTGACGAAGTGAGACATGAGTAGAGACATTAGCCGGAGTACCTACTCATATAAATCAAGCGCCGTTTATCCAATCCTTCGAGCATAAGCGACGCCGGCAGTCCGGCCAGGGCGGCCGTGCCCACCGATGCCGATCAAGACCCGAATCCAGACCCGGCATAGAACACAGCTCTGCCCTGACGTGACACATTACCCCGGTGTGTCACTCATGACGGATAGACCAATGCAGGAGCCTTGCCAGCTCCTGTTGTACCTACTTCGTTAAATTTTCGATTCTCGCTAAGTTGCCGTTTCGTCGTTGGAATAGAGTTACGCGGCAGCATACTGGGGCTGCGAGCCACCGTCCAAAAGCAACTTAAATTGTCAACAGCAATGCAAAGAAGTCTGTTATTGCTCAGAGCTTGCTTTTTGAAGAATTAACAAGTGATACAGTACGTTAAGAAGGCAGCTGTATTCTTGAAACGGATTATTTCGAGGCAACTACCCGGAATCATTCATTCTTTTCTGAGCTCTGCTTGAGTTATTTTCTAAACCATCGACACAGACCACCGTGGCAGACGCACCGATGCTGCACTGAAACTTTCCGCCCCGAAAACATGGGATAGCTCACCCCGATCGTGTGCAATAAGACCACGCACTTATAACTTCCCACCGCCCAGCCGGCCGCCCGGCAGATGTCGTGGCGCGCGGTGCCGATAAGGCGCTGCCGCCACCGTGCGGCGTCGAATTCTCGCCCTTATTGACACCGGCCGGTCGGCGGGCGTAACATGGTCCTCTTTAAGCCGTTTGAGCAGCGCCTAGCAGTAATACTTTTCGAAAAAAGGGTATCATCGGACTCAGAAAAGAATACCGCACCACATGCGCCATGAGCCCATATACTTTTCCAAAATTCGGTTTTTTTGAACAACCCTAATGTCCAATGTCCATGTACCGGTCTCTGAGGGATTTAAGCCAGCGCATTCATAGCTCCACACCAGCAATTGTAAGGGCTTCACACTGAAGTATCTGAGGGTTCCACACCGGTGTCTCTAAGGGCCACATACCGGCATCTCTGAGGGCCCCATACCGGCGTCTCCGAGGGTCCACATCTGGCGGGCACCCATCAGCGACTGAAGGTCCCACACTGTCGACTCCGACAGCCCCATCTGCGTCTGGGAGCAACATGCCGTCTCTAAGAACCACAGCGGCTCCTCCGTACGAAAGATGGGCGTCTGCATGCCAAAGGGGAGCGGTTCTGAGACAGTAGGGCACCTACGTGCAATATCTAGAGGGGCGCCTATGAAGCCCATAGGGGCACCTCAATGCGCAAGAGGGGCGCCTCTGAGGCCTACATAATATATGGGCGTCCACATGCAATAGAGGTCTGCATTGATCAATGCCATGGGGGTGCATTCATAAGAAACATGGGCGCCGGCATGGCAAAGAGAGGCGCCTTCAAGTGTCCATAAAAGAGAGACGCCTATGATAAGCGCACATTGTATGCGACAACGGGGCGACTGTGGGACATATAGGATGTCTCTGATGACTATACATAGGGCGCTTATATGCCAAAGAGGGCGCCTATGAAGCTAATGGGGGCACCTGGGAAACGAGGAAGACATTTGTGTAAGGGTTTTCAGGGGTCATGCGCCGTTTGCGGCAAATAGATTCTAAAAAAAAAAAAAATCGGAGGGGGAATAAGTTTTAAAAATGGTGCGGACTTCCCGCACTGTTCGCTTAAGCGGTTACGCCCCTGGGTACATCTGCCCGAGCCCCGATCTCAGAAACTAGATTTGGAGGTCATACTTGAAAGCAGCCAGCAGGACGAGGCAAAAGTTGGAGGCCCCTGAAAATAGGAGGCCCCTGAAAAAGGAGGCCCCTTGACAGGGTGGCCCACCCACTTTTCATGACGTTCCTACGCCCGTGCGGTCCGGCATGTGGCACTTCAGGGTACCGTATCCTTGTCCGATGTCGATTTCTGCTCAGTTTGTCATGTAGGTAGGTGTAGTTATATTAACTATCTACGGGCGTCACCACTACCAGGGCCGCGGAGTCGGAGTCGGCCGGAGTCGACAGTTTTGACCGGATTCGGAGTCGGAGTCGATTTCGGAAACTGGAGTCGGAGTCGGAGTCACCGGAGCTGGGCTGCGGAGTCGGAGTCAAAGTTGGAGTCGGTCGGAGTCGATAGTTCTGCCTGAAGTCAGATTCTGAGTCTAAGTTGGTTTTTGGAAGCCGGAGTCGGAGTCGGAGTCGGAGTCGCCGAAAATCTAGGGACTCCGCAGCCCTGGGAGTCACCATTAAACGTTCTCGGAAGGTAGCTCGTTGCTACGTTCCGAGTCGTAGCAACGAGCCGAAACGGCGAAGTCGGAGTCGGAGTTCATCTGCCCGATTTAGATCGAGTAAATGGCGAGGTCACTAGAGGTTATCAATATGCATCACCCAGAATTTTCCTATTTTGGCATTCTTTACAATCGGATCCAGGCTGGTTAATTGTTGAGCACCATTTCGATATACCTATTCAATCAAAAGTTTTTTAACCATGGCCGCCTTTTGTCCTTTGACTGTCACATCCGTCCGTATTGAATTTTCGGATTTCAGTTGTTGATCTCGCGCTCAATTCAATTAGGCAGCAAAATCCAGAGGCTCCGAAGCATTGCTTCCTTTCAGGACGGCAGAATGAATACCTACCAACCTTAGAAGCTGTATGGACCGTTCTGCTTTCCAAATAACACATAAATTACATATCGTACATCTGTATTATTTGTACACAAAAAGGTATGAACGCTCCTCGGGCTCGGCTCAATCGCTGCAAGACGCGTCTATTCCAGCGTCCGGCGAATCTAGCTCTGTCACAGGAGTTCAAAACGGGTGACATGGGACCGATATACTATGAGACAATGACTTGAAATGACTCGCGAACGGGGGTGAGTGTTCCTCTAGGCCGCTGAGCCTAGGCAAGCACTCTAATGTGAGACAACACACGCTGCTTGACTGGGCTGCTCTCAACACCCCGACCACCAGCGTCGACCCGCGACCTGCGCGGGTCAACACAGCTCGATCGGAGTCCGTTTACTGCGCGCCCGGGGCCGCGCGAAGCGCCGCCATCAGCTGCTCGCTGCTGAACGGGCACTTGGCGAACAGGCGCGCGCACCGCTTGGCATCCTTCTTCTGGGCGCCAACAAACGCGGCCAGCTGGTACTTGCCAGAGGCGGACTCGAGGCCGTTGCTGGTCGGCGGCAGCGGACGGGAGCTGGGGGCAAAGGGCAGGTCAGGTCAGATTCGTGCCGGTAATCGTGGTCATTTAGTTTAATCAGATAGATAAAAACAAAGATACTATACGTTGCAAACCGACAGAGCCGTGGCGCTTCTAAACAATACCCAAATTAAACATAAAAACTTAACGACCATTTGGTTGTGTGTCTGTCTTGAAAAGAGCCCTAAGAAGCGAGTGCGTAGCTATAACGTTTACTTTTCCGCAGGTTTGACCTATAGAGAGCCAAATCAGACTCGCTCAAACTACCTCTCATACCCTCGGTCCGCCCTTGCCCTCCCGCATCAGCCCTCTCTTCGACTCACCCGAACAGCGACAGGATGATCCTCTCGTCGGCCTGCAGCTGGCTGTACTCGCGGGCCTCCAGTTCGCAGACGACGCGCAGGCCGCAGCCCAGAGAGTCCACCTGCTCCACCAGCTGGAAGTAGGCCTCCTCCTGGTCCACATCCAGGGCCACCACGGCGTCACGACGACCGCGGTAGCGGCGGCCGCGGCCCCGACCGCCGCGCCGGCCTCCGAACGAGCGGGCGATGGCGAAGCCGGCGACACCGGCCAGCTTGAGGCCGATGACGGCGGCGACGCCGATGGCCAGCGCGGTGCCGGCCGAGATGCCCTCGGTGGCAGAGCTCTCGTAGGCCATGGAGGCCAGCAGGGCGGTCAGCAGAAGCAGGTGGGCGTTCATGGCTGCGAAACGAGAGAGGAGAGGTCAGCTTCAGTCGGAGACCGGGCGTGAGTGTCGAAGCCCCAACCGTCCTCAAGGGCAATATCTATCATGTGACTGATTTATAATTTAGGCTGCGTTCGACGGCATCCAGATGCCGAGGATTCTTTGACGTACGGCCTCAGAATGCCGATCGTAGTAAGACTATCTCAGATCTCTATGCTGTGAACGTCACTTTGAGGCCAGACAGCGAAGAATTTCGTCGGGTTGTCGGCGAGCACCCACATCTGACACGTTTCTTTTAGAAGCCTCGACTCGTAGACTTCAGCGTATATAATATCATATCCACCAGCACCATTCGAAAGCTCCCAAAAGGGATTAATGATCTTGTACCATTCATCTCATAACTCCAGGTGGAAACAGCCGGACTGGGAAAACTGTATCCGATAGAGGGCAAACATAAAGATGAAGTTCAGGATGCTTTTGAAACTCATGATGCTTTGGAGCGACTAGTCATAAGACAAACTTTTTCAAATGCTTTTGGCTTTTGTGAAACGGGTTTAGGCTAACTTTTCGTTAGCCTAAACCCGATTTTCAATTTATTTTAATTTACCCTAACTTTTTGGATAGCAAAAATTAAAACTAGTGTATTTTGATAGGAACAGCCCAGATCCGAGTTTATACTAACTTTGGAGCACGTTAGCCTAAACCAGATTTACCCTAACCCGGCCAATTAAACGATTCTGTTAGTTCATATTTTATCCACCAGGGTTTGCTTCATACTCAAAGGCCTTCCTCGTCCAGTAAAAGATCTGGCAGCGATGTGCCACGTCGATTTGGAAGCACGACTGAGATACAATTTCGGCGCAGCTGTTTGCACGCCGGAATATCTTTGAGCGTTATTGTTGTTGTTGCACATGCAGTTTCAAGGATGGTGGTCGTTGTGTGTCTACAACAGGTAAGCTAAATATTGTTCTCCCTAATATATGATAGATCAGGTTAAGTAAACAGCCAGAAGAACTCCACCCACCCATATTGTTGTCACTTGTCTCCTTGTTTTGTTTTGTTTTTCCACCTACCTTCTTGCAAAAATTGCCTGTAGGTAGCTTGTGCCTGCCATGACATGACTAGAGTCCATACCGGTATCCCTTTTTGCTTTATCTTGGCGGCTATATAGTTGTGTGAAGATGGTGGATACTAGGCTGATGTGTTGTTAATGGTTACATCACTTTTCATTTTGAAATGAAGGAGCAGGGCATCCTTACAATTGTAAAACTATCCATACCAGTAGGCGGAACTATGGTCAAGCGTACCCATTTTCGGGAACGCATTTTCGTTCCCATGTTTGGGAACGATAAACCCAAATATGGGAACGCCATGTAGGCATTATTTAAAACAAGAAAAAGAACTGTTAAATGACGTCCAAAAAATATAAAACGATCGTGAACCGCCTGATAGTTGTCTCAATATTGTTGGGAAAGAGTTTGATATTGTAAGGCCCATCGTAGTTTCAAATCGTTCCCCTATTTCTAAAGCAGTCCATCACCCGGGCCGCGAGCCCAAATTTGGGAACGCTCTCGTACACTGGCGCTGCAAGCGTTCCTTATTATGGGAACGGCGTACCCAAAATTGGGAACGATTTCACCGACGCCTTTCAGGGGCTCTTTTCATTAACAAGCATCACGTCCAACGCCGCAAATTATTGTTAACGCAACAATCATCAGATGACCTTTCCGGCAAGACCGTTGCATGTTTCGCCCGGTCTTCTGCGCTTTTATTCCCGTCGATCTCGCAGCGGGCACGCCCCCCTCTGCAGGATTACGTAATCCACAACGCTCAGCGATGTTCAACAAGGTCTTCCATACCTATATCCACCGTCCGCGCCGAGGGTGGAGACATGTCAAGCACCTGTCTGCTAATCACCGAGAGTTGACGAGCACAAGAAGTATCCAAAAATGGGAACGCTGAATATGTTACACCCTCAAAACACCTAGTCCCAATGAAAATCTAGTTTTTTCCTTTCTTAATGAGTGTAAGTGGCAAAAGGCCTGGTAGGATGGGCACGAGGTATGATCGAAATCAGCATAAAAATTATAAATAAGCCACACAGAGCGACCTATATCAGAGAAATTCCCCCCAAACGATCATGCTTAGAAACGCCGAAGACAAAAACCACGCTCATGACGCTGCTTATAAAACAACGCTAAACAGCTAGCATCCAAATAAAATATGTCTTTCAGGGCTGATAAAATACAGCTGAATGATTTTAAACCACTGAAACTGAGTTTACAACAGTAGTTCGGTAAAATCACTGACGTTCCACGCGGTCGATCGCCCCGACACCAAAAGTCAACAATATTACCTCGGGACTGCCCGCGTGTTCGCTTGCATATGTCAGCATCTGGTGTCGCTAGAATGAAACTTCATAACCAGGCGAAAATTATTATACTTGACCTCAAAATGTAAAAAATGCTTCATTTTCCTTAAAATTGCATGTTAAATGTCGTATAACCCATATTTCCACCATTCTGTCATTTTTAAAAAATCATTAAAAATATCATTCCACGGTCAATTTCCTTGTTCCACGGTCAGATTAAAGATAACTTTATGGAGATTTAGTAGATACTTAAATCAGCGTGCACTTTTTTGAGACGTGATGCACTTTTGAGTTTTAGTGGGCGAACGGCCGAAAAATTGCCTTCCGTTCTCATAAATGGGAACGCCCGTTCCCATATTTGGGAACTCCGTTCCCAAAAATGGGAACGTTCCTATATTTGGGTACTCATGACCATAGCTCCGCCTACTGATACTTTGTTGGAAGCTGTTCTGTTAGGTTGTGCATCAGTTGGGTAAAGGACGAGGCTCAAATCCAAATATTGATTGACCAATGAAAGGTTAAAGTGGGCAGGGCCATGACCATGTAACGAAAAAATGGACGTGATTTTGTGCATCCTAGCTTTCAAATGAAAAAATAAGACATAAGCAAGTTGTGATTCACACAAGGCCTGTACTCACTCAGCGCACAATTAACTGGCGGTCCTAATGAAGTTAGTTGTGACTCAAAGGCCAACCGACGTTTGACGGCAATTGCTGATCGAAAGAAACGTGCCAGAAAAAGTGAGTAATTAAGAGATGGTGAATAGTTTTTATTTGTATTAATTTGTTTACAATATTGTCAATTATAGCAAAATTAATTATTATTCAATATTACTATTTTGTGTTTATTGTTTTAAAAATAAATTTCTAAACTTTTTTCATAGTGCCGATCCATTTATGGAATGGCCAGCTGATTGTCTGCCAAAGTGGACGCCCAGAACCTGCAAAAAATATCATCATTTTCGGGTGAATGTGCGTACTTTTGTCAAGTATTACTCGTTAACTATCATTCCTTTGGTAAATGGAAGCTTTTTCTCTTCAGTGGGTGTACTCAATACCGCAAGTATTGTCCCGTTACACTGAATGCACCCCGTCATAGCGGGGGCTGCATTTATGCCCATATATTGTCATAGGTACGAGATCCATTTATTGATTGATCAATGTTTTTATTTCTGCCTCATAGTTTCCCCAATTGGCATGCTTCTTGTAAAACACTGATTGGCAGTGCTGCTAGCTGGTGGCAAAGAAAAATGATGAAGCTAACCACACACAAAAAAATACAGCCAAAATAATGACTGTTTTTTATGCAAAGCATGCTAAAAGACAATCAGGAAATTGATTTTTTATGGAGGCGATCTGGTGTCACAATCAAACTGTTGATTCCACAAACATTAGTTTGTGTTTTGTTTTTGATAGTTTGGCTATTAACAAAATTGCATAGGCGTAGGAACAGGAGGGGCCAGGTGGGCAAGTGCCCACCTACTTTTTGAGGTGGGGGGCCGGGGGCTACAGGGCCTCCTGTAAGGGATTTTCAATGGAGGGGGGGGGCAGAGGCTCAAGGAGCCAAACCTAGGGTTCCCTCAAATCCTGTTTTCTCATCGGATTTAGGCCACTTATTTTTAGTCATAGCCCTGACATTATGATCTTTTCTTAGCTAATAAAAATAAAATAGTAGCCTATCTTATCCATGCTTTGATATTTATTTGTCACCCTTTCACATTGCCCGATCAGGTGGTTACAAAAATGAAATACAAAGGAAATACAAACCTCCCAATTTTAATGCTATCTTGCTCAAAATTTTGTGCTGAACCTGAATCCTCTTTCAGCATTTGGGGCCTGGGGGTAGGTCTGGTCAGGTAAGCTCAGGTCAACCAGTGTCCAGCCTATGCTAGCCTAGGTGTCATGCCAGGTAGCCAAAGTAGGTGTCAATCACCACTGAAAGGGAGCTTCGTAACATTGGAAGCTTCGTAACATATTTTTTGGCACCAAAACCTCTCCTGAAAATGGATCCTAAATTCGACATCTGCAAAAAGGACACTTATACATGTTGAAACTTGAAAAGGTGAAGCAAGGTCATCTAAGCTCAGTAACCTTGACCACCTGACCCTAATGCGACCCTGACACCTACCATAAGGCATGATATTACAATCATCCCACAAGTTGGCGTTTTTTTTTTTTTTTAAAGACACAAATAGTTTGAAAACGCGTCGATAATGTGCGCTAACACGCAGAATCGCGATTCTGCCATGCCATGGTCTCTAGAAACACGCCATAGGTCAAGGGTCATGGGGTTCGGGGTCTTATAATTGTCATGATGTGTGTAATTTTGATTAGCTCGTGAATGCGAAAAGTTTCGCCGCGATCGGCCACCTTTTACGAGTTTTTTTTTAACTGAGGGTCATGGATGGGTCTATCCGACCTCCCAATAAGCGCGACGTTTAATTTCTTTTACTGTGTAACAGATGCTGCCTTTCGATTGCTTTGTGCCCTGATTTACTATGTACCTAAGCACAAACATGCCCTCTCCATTCCTTGTGCCCATGGGTGTTGTTTTGTATAGGCATGGTAGGGCCCGAGCCCTACCAATAATTTTGGAAATTTAACATTATGCCTATGGCGTTGCGTGGAAAGAATCGCTTTGAATTGG